GGTTGAAAAACTTTTCTATAAAAAAATTTTCATTAAATGTTTAATTTCGGTTAAACTAAAATTTAAAAGAGGGTTAAGTTTTAATACTACCAATTCACCCCCCCCCCTCCTTGGTAGCCTTGGGACATTAACTTAGGTCTAACAACCTATTTACTAGACTCAACAAAATCAATGTGCAATTGAATGCTAAATGCTTGAATTAATTTTTTTGTGCTTTGAATTCTAAAGATTGCGTGAAAATCTCTATATGTACTATTGGTAAAAAAACTTGGGATAAACTGAAGGTACTAGTGAAGTCAATCAATCCAAGTTGTATGTTTTATTGCATGAATTTGAGCTTTCAACATGATAATAAACAAATTTGAAAGTCTATTGAAGCAAAAGCATAAGCATAATAAAATGGAGCAAAGGTAAAAATGATTAAAATATTAAGCTTTCTTCTAACCTTATTTGCTTTGGGTGTAGAAAACCCGGACAACTCAAATTTGAATGACCAAATTTAAAAATTTTCCTAAAAGGAAAGACTGTCGATCCACCATTTTGTAGAGAATAATATGTGTTCAACCAACCTGAACCAGTCAAACATTTTTTGTAAGAATTTCTTATATAGTCACATTTCACAACATATATAATATAGTAAATAAGTGATTTATACTCAATGTACCATATTAATTATTGCAAAATTTGTATATGAACCAAAATTAGTAAAATTTATAAAAATAATATAGTCTAATCTTTTTTTATCGTGTATGTAACCACTATAATAAGAATGCATGTCAGCAATGATATTAAGAGTTTTTTTTATAATTATTTACTCAATTTTTATATTTATCTAAATTTCTCAAATTAGAAAATTTTTCCAAAATAAAAAATTTGTGCTAAAATTTTTAATATATTCTTATAAATATGTACAAAATGATTAAACTATAACATACTAAAAGTTACATGGTGGAAGTTTGCTAAACAAATATATTACAATTTTTTTTTATTTTGATAAAATTTAAATTTTATATTTATAAAATATAAAATGCACAAAATCATTAAAATAATAGGTAGTGTAATGATAGTGTATCTCTAGACGAGCAAATTTTGTAATTGGACCAACATATAAAAATAATAGTACGACCCGCAAACCTTTAGTTTCTCTCCCTTTCTCCTCCCTTTTCTTCTCATTTCTCTTTTCTCTTATCAGACTAAAATAAAATGGGATGAAAATGGCCATTTAAAAACTTTTATAAGTGGAATGATATTTTTATAATAAAATATATTAACGATATAAATATAATTATGCAATTATTTAAATTTTGGCATAAAATCCTTTTTTTTTAAGAAAGCATGAATGCTAGAATAAAAAAATTGAAGCAAATTACAATTTAGTAATATCCGACTCCTCCTCTAACAGTTTAATAAAGGAAGGAAGGATATAGTTCCAAGTTTCATCATCCAAAAAAAAAAAAAGATTTAAAACAAGCAAAATTGGCACAAATATCTGCTAGCTTATTTCTCTCCCTATCAACACAAGTAAAGATAACATAATTGAAATTTTTAATAAAAGAGAGATCAATAGCACTTTTGTTACCTGTATCCATTTCTTTCTTGATGAGATTGACAACATTTTTGTTACCCCCTTCCATAATCAAGCCTTTGTAATCCAACATCCATTCTTTGATTATGTGCTTTAAAGAAGTGATTGCTTGAAGTTCTAATGCAGCTGAATCCCAATGAATGAGATTATTACCGAAAGCCAAAAGTAGTCTGCCATGATGATCTCTAAATACTCCTCCTATACCCACCTTATATGATTTGTGTAGAGCTGCATCTATGTTGACTTTGATCCAATCAGGTGGAGGAGGGTGCCAAGAATTGAACAACCTAGTTGATTGATTAACATCCTCGAAGCCTGAATTTGAAAATATATGGTTTTTGAAAGCTGCTGTGTAACTAACAGTCTCAGAAGCTGTAAATAACGGACTGGGATTGTTCTTCTCTTGAACAAACTGAATTCTTGCTCTCCATGATAGATAAATCATATTACAAAATAGATTTATCATCCATAAGCATTATTTATTAAGCCAACTATAGCAATTTTCCACAGAAGAAAAGGCAGCGAATCCAAATCCCCAATGGTTCAAAATATCAAACACCTCAAATAATGTTTTGCAACTGCGTACTATGTGGTCTAGATCTTCTACCTCCACACAACCTCTAGGACATTTATCAAATCCTAGTAATCTTCTATAGCATAGAAATTTGTTTGTTGGTATTGCATTATTGAAAATTCTCCACCAGAATAATTTAATTCTAGGATTTAGTTTGGCTATGCTGTACCAAAACAGAGAATTATCATCAGAATTTTCATTTTCCATAGCTTCAGAAGCGAAGCCTGTTATCGTTTTCCAAGATAAATTGTGAATGAGCTATGTTCTATCTTCTTCAATGTCAGAATGAATCTCCATAGCAGAAATGAGCAGCACCAATGTTGCGGATCTATGGCTTATGATTTTGATGATAGC